TGTCTAAAATACATCCCAAAGTCCGCATTCTCAATTTATGCCATCTTCTTCCTTTCTTGTTCTAACTGCCACCATGCCACCACGTCTACCCTTCATTCTTCATAGCCACCATCAAATCCCCTCTCTCTTTGTCTCTTGCCTTTTTCTAGTCTCTTGCCTTTTTCTCAAAATAGAGTTATCGCTCTAATTTTGAAGTCTCTACCTTGCATCTCTATAGTCCACATCTTATGGTTGCTTCTCAACACTTGATTGGTTCTCATTTCTCTAATTCTACTCTCTATCAATCTCTTGTTGACACCCTTTAGTACTTGACCATTACGCGCCCAGTATAGGGGTGTACACCCAACCCGAAAACTCGAAAACCCAACCCGACCCAACCCAAAATATAAGGGATGGGTTGGGTTATGTTGGATTTCGGGTTTGGGTTGGGTCCATTTTTTTTTAACCCGATATGATTTGGGTTGGGTTTAGGTACCAAAAGAAAATGAATAGGTCAACCTATTCCAACCAAAAAAGAAATTAAAGTCTAAAGGCCCAAAGTCAAACCCCAATCTACCATCTCTCTTTTCTCTCTGCTTCCTTTAAGGGAAATGACGTTTAAAATCATGTTATTTTAAATCAAGTTATTTTAAATTTCTACATAAATCCATCTACTCAGCCATTTCTACCTCTATGCGGCATTTCTACCTCTCAGCTCAAGTTCTACATAAAAAGCTCAAAGTTCTACATAAAAGCTAAAGAAATCTACCTCTCTCCCTACCTCTCTTGGTTTGTTTGGTTATTTTCTTTTCTGATTTTCTCCCTCCTCTCTCTGATCCATACAAAATTCTCTCATCTCTTCTCTCACAACCTCACTTCACAGCTTCTCTTTTTCGCTCTTTCATATCCACGCCAAAATACAAACCTTCAGTCAAAATACAAATCTCTCTCAATATTTAGTCTCTCACAAGAAATTTGATCTCAATAGTATTCTCTCGTGTTCTTTGTCTTGTTTCTTTCTCGCGCGCCATCTTTCTCTCTTTAGTCTCCTGGAACGCTATAACGGGTAAGGTTTTTCTCTTTTTGTTATATCCCGTTGCGAAGACTGGTTGTATATTTTAACTTTGATGCATTATATGATAATTGTTCATATTGGGATAAATGTTTGAATCATAATAGTTTTATTTTACTTTTTTATAAATGGAAAACAGTAGTGCAACTATATGGGCAAATAGTTCTAGTAATTATAATGCATCGAAACTACCATTGGCTGCACAATCGAAATTTAAGAAGAAGAAACTCAGTAAATCAACCGTGTGGGATCACTTTACAAGTTTAGACAACAATAATAAGAGGTGCAAGTGCAACTATTATTCTAAGGAGTATGCGTGTGATACTAATTCTTGTGGAACTAGCACGTTACGGAAGCACTTAAAAAATCAGTGTAGAAAGTACACATATAAGGTGGAGGACAAAGGACAAATCAATCTAAGTTTTCAAAGTTCAATAGATGGAAAAGGTGGTGGTAATATTGTTACTTCATTATTTAGTCAAACAAGATGTAGATCAGCATGTGCTAAGATGATAATTATGGAAGAATTGTCATTTAAATTTGTAGAGAACGAGGGTTTCAAATTGTTTTGTAGTATTGCGTGTCCTAAGTTTGCGTCAAGAGTAACCATTGCTAGAGATATATTTCAACTCTATCTAGAAGAAAAAAAGAAGTTGAAAGATTTTTTAGTCAGTCATTCCAAGAGAGTTTGTCTTACCACTTACCTATGGATTTCGTTGCAAAACATTAATTACATGGTAATCACCGCACATTTTATTGATTCAGAATGGAATTTGCATAAAAGAATTCTCAACTTTTGTCAAGTTGCTAACCACAAGGGAGAGACTATTGGAAGGATTATTAAGAGTTGTTTATTGGAATGGAGAATCGATAAGGTTTTCTCTATCACAGTTGATAATGCAAGTTCGAATGATATAGCTATTTCATATATTATGAGAATGCTTAGAAGTTGGAATTCACTTGTCTTAGATGGAGAAATATTACACATGAGGTGTTGTGCTCACATAATTAATTTGATTGTGAATGAAGAGCTTAAAGAAATGCATGACTCCATTTCTAGTGTTCGTTAGATCATCCCCCAAGAGATTGACAAAATTTAAAAATCGTGTTGAACAAGAAAAAATTAAATGTAAAGCACTTGTTTGTTTGGATGTGGCGACTTGATGGAATTCTACTTCTTTGATGCTTGATCATGCCTTAAATTTGAAAAAGCTTTCAAAGTATTAGAGGAAGAAGAATTAGATTACGTTGATTACTTCATAGAGGGGGATCATGGAAACAAAAGAATAGGGCCACTAACCATTGATGATTGGAAAAACGTTGCAGTGTTTGTAAAGTTTTTGAAGGTTTTCTATGATGTCACTACGAAGATAAGTGGTTCTTTATATGTGACTTCTAATTCTTATTTTCATGAACTTTGGGTATTCAAGAACTTTTAATTAAGTGGAGTACAAATGTGAACTCTGTTTTAAGTAACATGAGTTCAAACATAAAAGTTAAGTATGACAAATATTGGGGATCAGTGGAAAGAATTAATAAATTGATATCATAGCAGTGGTACTCGATCCTCGTTACAAATTGGATTACATATCATTTTGCTTTTCGAATATTTATGAAGATGTTATGGCTAAAGTGATGGTGGATGGCATAAAGAATTATTTAATTTGTTTGTATGATTACTACAAGTTTTATGATAATGCTCAAGATCATCATCAATCTGAATCAAGACTCACTTTTAAGCTCATGAGTATGGAGATGGACACAATTGATGAAGAGAATTTGAGTGGTTCAATATTAGTATTATCAAGATGCAAACGAAGAAGAGAATAGCAAAATTCACTTGAGTTAAAGAATGATGTGGATCGATATTTATCTGACCCTAGTAAAGAACTTGATGATAATTTTGATGTTTTGGTATGGTAGAAAGCAAATGAGTTTAAATACAGAGTTTTATCGAAAATTGTCCAAGATGTTTTGGCCGTTCTAGTGTCGTCTGTATCTTCTGAATCAGCATTTAATACGGGTGGGAGGATTCTTGATTCTTTTAGGAGTTCTTTGACACCTAAAACAGTGGAAACTCTTCTATGTACACAAAATTGGATCGGTAGAAAATCAAGATCGTTAAATATTCTTCAACAACTTGAAGATTTGAAGATTTGTTCTAAAATTGAGACAGGTAACTCCAAATCTATTTATTGTCTATTTGTTAAGATGTATTCTAATTGTTATATCACAAGATGATTTAAGATCTTCAAGCTCCACCAATATTATGTAAGAATAATTATTTTTCAATGTAAGTAAAATATTTGAAGTTACAATATGTTTTTTCCAAACAATCTTAAAACCGTAGTAACTTTCAAGATTTTTTTTTTTTTTTTTTTCAGGGAATTAAGAATGTAATAGAGGGTTAGATAGTTTTAAATTTTTAGGCATTTTTTTAAATGTTGTAACTTTGGAATTAACTCATTGAATATTCTTTACCCATTTATAAGTGAATTTTAAGGCATTTTGTTGAATGATTATATACCGTGAATGTAGATAATTTAAGGTTGTCTTTTCAATTTAGTATTAGAGCCTAGGTTACATCTTGGGATTAAATTCCGGCCACAAATGTCTATTGTCGAGAGACTATAAATACCCACACTATGTTAGGTAAAATTCAAATTTGTGGATTAATGTAATTCAGATCTCAAATTGAGACGTTTCATTTCTAAGTTTCAAGCAATTTGGTAGAATTGCACCCTAGCCATTCAATCAAGCCTTGATCAAGTTAGATTGTAGAGTGACTCAATTTAGAACAAGGTTGCAAATCTTGCTTCTAGATCTTTGATCGTAAGAGGTAATCTAATTCTAGCATTATCTTTTGGTTGATCCAAATTTCGTATAAGGAAGTGTTAATTACTTTGATTCAAGGGTTCTTGCTAAAACAAAAGCTTAGATCGTTAGGGTGAGAATTAAGGTTGTCTTTTCAATTTAGTATCAGAGCCTAGGTTACATCTTTGTGGTCGACTCTAGAATTGATTTTATCTTTCATTTTCTATCATTGTTTATCTTTTATTTAAATTTGTCTATTTATTTTCTTGCTATCATTTCTGTCATTATTCATCAACTTTTTACTTTGTTCTCTATTCTTACTAAAGATCACATTTAGATCTTGAAAAAAAAAATTCTTATCATATTTGTTCTTATGATTGGGATTATAAACGATCCTTATCATTTATTTTAGATCATTTGCATGTTTCTTTGAAGATCAAATAAACTTAGATTCACATTTTTTTCTTAATCCATCTAAATCTAGAACCGTTGTGTTTGATATATTTTTTTCTTTTTTTCTCATCATCTACGTTTGAAGATAACTTCTAAATTTCCCGAATTCTGTAAAAAAGGAGAGTTAGATTGTTCTTAAATCTTCATGTCCTTTCTTTTTGGATTTTTTTTTTGTTTTTGAATGTGCAATTCTATCCAAAAATATCTTTGTGTCCCTTAGTTGTTTGTTCTCTTCTGGTATTATTGGGTTGATATTTCATAATTAACTTATCTTGATGGCCTTGAATAACTTGCTACTATCGGAATTGTTTTACCCATATATTAACCTACCTTGATCATAATTTAGTCATTTTCCCAAACAGTCTACCTTTGTGTGTATAAACACGAGTGTTCTGAGTGTAAAATCAGTGAGTTGAGTGTGTGAGGTCCTAAACATATTTCACTACTGTTTGTACAATCATGAACCAAGACGGAGGAAATGGAGGGGAGATCAATGAAGCTAGGTGGAGAGAAGCACAGGTCGAAACAATTACTCGTTTGAATCAAGTTATTAGTACATTGATAGACTTGTAGCGCCCGAGTATTTAAAAAAAATAAAAAATAATAATCACAATAGGGGGCAAACTAGTCATTTTGCCCTTATTAGTTGAGGGGTCTGTTTTGGGCTGAGGTATAATTGGGAAGAGAGAAAGAAGAAAGAAGAGGGAAAGAAGATTAGGGTTTTGAGGAAGGGGGAGGAGATCGGATTAGAACCGACGCCGGAGATCCGAGTCCCCAATCTAAAGCGTCAAATAGTCCGAGGCAAGGTGCTCTCACGAATCGCACCTTCCTATTTCGACAAAATGTTCAAGAACTTCAGGTTAGTCCACGAGTGTGTACCTTGAGAAATCATCAAGATTTTCGTGTGCTAGCAACATTTTGTGTTGATCCTTGGACTCTTACCCTCAACAGCGCTATCTGGTTAAGTTCTGGAGTGAAGGCGGCCAAGATCGGCGTTCGAATCGGAGTCTCAAGATAACGTGATTTTCGGTAAGAACTCGTGTTTTTCTCCGAATTCAAACTCAAATAATAAAATTTGTGATCAACAGAAAAATTTAAGGAAATTCTTTCGAGGGAGTAGAATATGAGGTCTACAAGTCTCGTGAAGAAAATTTATCGAATCGGATTACAGATTGGAAGATAAGAAAATCGGAAGAAAATAGATCGAAACGGGAAAGAGACCTGGATAATGAAGGCAGGAGAGAGGGTGGAGGCCGCCACGCGTCGGTCGGCGTGCGGAGGAGAGTGGCAGAACCGGTGATCGACACGTGTCGATCACCGGCTGGTGAGGCGCGTCCTCACCCGGCAGCGGGCATGCGTCAGGCGTGCGGACCCGGGCGGCCCGACCCGCGCCGCACGCGAAGCGCCCGACCCGGTGCCTCTGACTCGCGCCTACTCGGGGAGAAGGGCGGAGGGCACTCGCGCGTAGTGACCTTCCAGGGCGCGTGCGTCGCGCGTAGGCGCGCGTGAGGCACCGTTTTTCTCCCGTTCGGTCTTTGTTTGCTTGTTTTCCGACCCAATTTTGATGCTGACCCCATTATTATGTGAATTAGGACCTGTGAAGAAAATTCCAGAGTTGTTGGAATCCATTTCGTCAAGAAAACTCGAACTCGGGAAGGCACGCGTCAACCAAGTAAGTAGCCATTTAGATTTCCACGAGCAGTACTTGTAGGAACCGCTAGGAACAAGCATGCATGCTACCACCTATGAAATTAGCTAGTCGAACTTAGCGTGTTATTATAGAAACTGCGAATATAAGATGATTATGGAAAGCTAGATACAAAATGTGTATTAAATCTGTTTTGGTTGAGACTCTGATAATGTATGTATGCATGAGGAGGTTGGGAAACTTGTGAAATCTGCGCTCCGGGTAAAGATGGACGTTATCTTCCCGTTGAGCATGTTTGATAATTTTGCATGAACTGCTGCGTGTAAACTTTATGTATGATGATTGCTTGTATTATCTTTCTTGATGAATAGGAAGAAATTATGAGCTTAGATTAGAATGCTTATAGCTAAATAAGCTAGACGAGACCCTAGATTGGGGGACCTCTAGAATACCGTGCAATTAGACCCGCAAAATGATTACCGGCGGAACCAGAACCCAGAATTCCAAACCCGATAGGTTTGTGACACTAGGCACGAGAATCCTAGAGAAATACGAATCTAAGTCTAAGCCATCAAGTTCCACCCTAGAAAGAATAATAGGTCACCACGGTAACTGTAGAAAGCCCGCTAGAGTTGAGCAGTGTAGATAGTGTCATCAGAACCTCCACTTCCCTCTCTCCTCCGATACCGTACCGTCGAGACAAAGCTCCGGTACGGTGATCGTTGAGCTTTGCAGATCTGGATAGGGAAGTGTGACAGGTGCCCAGACCTAGTGGTGATAGCTAAGGGGTCTTCTGAACAGGACTCTTGGGCCGTAGAAACCCGTCCCTGAGCGGGGGACGTGGAGTCACTTAGGATGACTCAGTAGCTGACCGGAACACAGGGGGTCGCACCCCGTTTTGTGGATGTATGGTCCCGTGTGAGGGTCGTCAGTTAACCTCCACGGATGATGTTCAGAGAGAGAGTCACGTATTCAGATCCAGCCATACGATCCCCTCAGATTTGCTTATGAGGTCGCGCCTCACCTCAGGACACTGATCATTTCACTACATAAGATGGGCAAGCCTTTTATGATACAGAAAGAGAGTTGTAGCTTAGATCACTCTCCTTAGAAACCCGAGAAAGACCGTGGTTACCTACCAAGACAAGGATGCGAAAAGAGCATACAAGTAGGCTGCTTACTAAGTATTTTTATACTCACCCCTTTCTCCCCCTTTTTTTTTTTCAGGTACCAGTCGATACGGGGAGGTGCTCGAGAGCTGTGCGGTCACAAAGGGGTGTCGTTCCGAAGCGTCAGTCCCTTGTTGGTCTTTTAGAGTCCTTTGTCTATTTTCATATATAGAGTCTTTTGTATTTCATTTTTACATTTGCAATTTTCTTTGTAATATTTTCGAAACAAATCTCTTTTTTCTTTTGTTTTAATTGAATGGTATTTTTACCCTTTTACTTTGCTTTTCTTTTCTTTTATTTTCTTTTTGTTTGTTTTCGATTTCGTCCTTTTAGTCACGATTTCGATTCTTCGAAGCCTCGAAAATTGGGTCGTGACAAGACTAGATGGAGCTAGCCTTAGGTAATCTTCAAGGGAGGGAAGTACTCTTGAATGAATGAGTTGAAAATGAAGAAGATGACAATGTCACCCTTTTAGCGGGACATAGTCCTAGGGAAAGGAGAGATGTCGGTCGAGGGAGAGGAAAAGTCAGAAGAAAGGGCAGAGAAATTTTAGCACCAAAAAGAATTGAGAGGGAGTACTAGTATGAGAGAGGAGAAGAAAGAGGTGTCGGGGGAGTAAAACTAAAAATTCCTACTCTCTATGGGAGATCTATCCAGAGGAGTATTTGCAATATGAGAGCAAAATTGAACATGTTTTTTATTGCAACAATTTTCAGTAAAGAAAGAAAGTTGAAGCTTGCTATGACTGAATTTTGTGATTACGCCATTATATGGTGGACATCTTTGAAATCAGAATGGAGGAGAAATTATGAAGAACCAATGGAAATGTGGGAGGAATTGAAGACATTAATGAGAAAAAGGTACATTCTTAAGCATTATTCTCGAGTACTCGAGCAAAAACTCTATACTTTGCAACAGGGATCCAAAAGTGTTGAAGAATATTACAAAGAAATGCAGGCTCTTATGAATAGAGCATGTATTGATGAAGACGAGGAAGATACAATGGCTAGATTTCTTGGTGGGTTAAACCGACAACTTGCTCATCAAGTGGATAGGCAAGCGTACTTTGATATGCAAAAATTGTTACACCTTGCTGTCAAAATCGAAGGGCAACTAGCTTGGGAGAAGGAGAACTCCAAGAGGCATGACATTTCAAAGTCTACTACTTTTAACACTTGGAAAAAGAACGCAAATGTTGAAAAGATAGATTTCAAAGTTAGAGACAAGTATGATCTTGACAAGAAGAACAAAGTTGAGATCTCCAAGCATAGGAATATAAGGAGGTTCGAGAAAGAAATAGAGACATCAAATGTTGGAAATGTCAAGGAATTGGTCATCTTAGTCGTGATTGTTCTAACAAGAGAGTCATGATCATCAAGAAGGGATAAGTTGTCACAGATAATGAGGGAAGTGATCAGGATGAGCTAGTTGAAGAAGAAATCAAGGAGAATGAGGAGGAACTCGAAGATGGGAGTCATTTGGAAACTTCTTAAAACTCAAATCACAGAGAATGATGTTGATGATCAAAGAGACAACCTATTTCACACAAGATGTTTAGTCAAGGGGACTCCTTGTAGTCTTGTAATTGATAGTGGAAGTTGCAGCAATATCGTAAGTACCATGCTGATCAAAAAGTTGCAAATTTCAACCCAACGCCATCCTAAATCTTACAAGCTTCAATGGCTCAATGACAGCGGAACAATGAAGGTAGTTTCTCAAGCTTTAATATCTTTTACTTTGGGAAAATATAAAGATGGAGTTCTTTGTGATATTTTACAAATGCATGTTGGAGACATATTGCTTGACCGATCATGGCAATTTGACAGGAAGATTATGTATGATGGCTATTTGAATAGGTATTCTTTTGTAAAAAATGGTAGAAAAACCACTCTTGTACCTTTGAGTTGTGTAAATATATTTGATGATCAATTAAAGTTGGAGGAAAAAAAGAAAGAGTTAAAGGAAAAAGAGTTGAAAGAAAAACAAGAGTTGAGTGAAAAAATAGAGAAAAATCAAAGAGTTATAGTGAAAAGAAGAATGAAAAAAGAGATGAAGTTGAAGAAAAAAATGGAGAGCTGTTTGGCTAGAGTTGGAGAGGTCAGAAGGTTTTCACAAAAATCAATCTTTGTACTTATGTACAAGGAAGGATATTTGGTCTCTAACGATAAATATTTGTCTTTGCCTAGTGTGTTTCAATCTCTTTTACAGGAATTTGAAAACATGTTTCAAGATGAAATATCTAAAGAAATACCTCCCATTAGAGGTACTGAACATCAAGTAGACTTCATTCCGGGTTCTGTCATTCCTAATAAGCCATCCTATAGAGTCAATCCAACTAAGATTAAAGAAATTCAGAGGCAAGTGGAGGAGTTCATGGAGAAGGGCTATATACGAGAAAGTTTGAATCAATGTTCTATACGAGACTTATTGGTGCCAAAGAAAGATGAAACGTGGCGCATGAGCATGGATAATAGAGTCATCAACAAAATCACTGTAAAGTATCAACATCCTATTCCTAGGCTAGACGATATGTTTGATTTATTGCAGAATTCATGTCTATTTATAAAGATTATTTTGAAATCTAGATATCATCAAATTAGAATGCATGTAGGAGATGAATGGAAAACAACTTTCAAAATTAAGTTTTGATTGTATGAATAACTTGTTATATCTTTTGGGTTAACTAATGCTCTTGTACGCCTATGCGCTTAATATATAATGTTTTGAGAAAATATTTGAGAAAGCATATTGTAGTTTATATTGATGATATTATAATTTATTTGAAGATTTTGGCTAAGCATGTGGAGTATGTTAAGTTAGTTTTGATTACACATCGAAAAAGAAATTTAATTTTAATAATGGTAGTTTTTGCATGGAAAATTTTCACTTTCTTGACTTTATAGTTGGTAAAAACAGAATAGAAAGAGAGTAGAAGAGATAAAGAAAAAAGTTCTAGTCATCCGTGATTTGCCAACACCAAAAATTGCAAGTAAAGTTTGGAGTTTTTATGGGTTAGCTAGCTTATAGGTTTAATAACTTAGTGAAAAATAATGTTGTTTTTAAATGGGGAAATGCAAGAGGATGCATCCAATTTTCTTAGGAAGAAATTAAGTAATGCACCATTATTTATTTTGCCTAGCTTTGATAAAACTTTTGAAATTGAATATGATGCACATGTTTTGGGCATAAATGCTCTTCTAATTCAAGATAGAAAGCCCTTAATGTATGTTTGTGAAAACCTAAATGAGGCAGCATTGAACTACCTACCTATAGTAAAGATTTTTTTTTTTTTTGTTTTAGTTCATATATTGTAAGTCTGACAACACTACTTATGCCCTAGAGAATTTGTGATCCAGTTTGATTATGAAAGCTTAAAATATCTGAAAGGTCAAAGCAAACAAAACCATAGACATGCAAAGTGGGTGGAATTTATTGAAACATTTTCGTATGTCATCAAATATAAACAAAGTAAGGATAATATGGTAGGTGATATGTTATCTAAAAGGTACAATCTCTTCACTCTTGTTAGTGCAAAAATTCTTAGATTTGAGCATATTATAGAATTACATAGAGATGACCAAGACTTCAGAATTATTTATTATCTTGTCTTACAAAAAAATTGTGGATGATTATTATGTGTTTCATAGAGATGACCAAAACTTCAGAACTATTTATGAATCTTGTCTTACAAAACAACCAGCGGATGATTATTACGTGTTTCATAAATCTTTAATTATGAAAAGTATGCTTTGTATTCCTAAATGCTCTATAAAAGATTTGTTTTTGAGAGAAGCACATGGTGGTGCGTTAATGGGACATCTTAGGATTAATAAAGTTTATAAGATGTTACATAAACACTTCTTTTGCCCGAAGATGAAACATGATGACTTTAGAACTATTTATGCATCTTGTCTTGCAAAAAAAAAGACCTGTGGATGATTATTATGTGTTTCATAAATATTTAATTATGAAAAGTATGATGGTGTTGTTATAACACATGAGGAAGCAATTTGGATCTTAGACACTCTTAGAACATCAATTATAGTAAATTAACTAGCATGTTCATAAGTATTAAAACTCAAGGAGTTTGAGTACTAACCTTTTGTAGTTCAAATTCC